TAGTCACCATGGCTTTCCCACAAGGATCAGTTTACCCCTCTCCTTTCAAAATTTAATTTAAAAGGGGTCCAAAGAAGAAAGATCCCCACCCATCTAAAAAACCCATAATTACAAAAACCCAGGGCAACATGGGTTTAGATTATTATTATTATTAAATAAAGGGGAAAGCGCTAAACCCGGAGGTTAACAGCGCCTGGGGGGGGATGGGGAAGCATTCGGGTTTAAAATTCGGGGACCTGGAGCACAGATCCAACCCCCTAAATAAAGAGCCCCTACCAGCATAAGGGAACCTTCCCTTTGGGGGGGACAGGGTTTGAGCGGGTCGCTCCTGCTTCCCAACTATGGATCACTACGCAAGGCCTAGAGCATAGAGAAAAAAAAAAGCAGATGAATATATACGACTTTGCAAAAGCCTTCGACAATTTGTGACCAGGGGGGAAAAGCGCACAAAATGCGTGCTAAAGGAATAACGGGAAAAAGTGGGGTCATGGTCTTTTTAATTTCCTCCAAAAAAAACCAAAAAGGGGTAGTAGTCAACGAGAAAAAGTCTGAAAAAATTGCCCAAATGTGAAACCCTTTTGGGTATCTTTATTGAAAAAAGGGTTTCGCCACACAGGGCTTCATCACCCATACATAGGGAAACTTTGAAGAACAGGAGGAGAATGAGGAACATCCCTCAACCTTGAGTCGATGTGTCAGTCATAAATTTAGTAGAATCTGGGCCTGGGTAAAAAGCTCTTTTTCCACAGGCACCCCCACTCGCCCCCATCTTGTTTCTCATCCTCATACTGACATAGACAAGGATGTCAGCCACACACCGTGTTTCCTTGCAGATGACACCCAAATCGTGACAGTGTCTTCCATGAGACACTGCAAGGCTCAGGCGGACATCAAAACCCAAAACTTTCAGTGGGCTGCAGAAAAAAATATAAGTTCAACGATGAGAAATTCAATTACCCGAAAAGGTAAACAAGAGGAACAAATTCCCTTTCCCCCAAAAAAAAAAGCGAAAAAAACCCCGTCAAGACCTGGGGGTGATCATGTGAAGGATCTCCTTCAAGGACCATAACAGGGATCGACGCATCTGCTAGAAAAATACGGATGGGTTTAGAACTTCAAAATAGGGGTGCCAAGCCAAAGATACACCCCTTTAGGTCGTTTTTTTTATCAGGCTGGAATATTGCTGCCACTAACAGTGCCTTTCAAGGCAGGTGAAATTGCTGACCTAGAAAAAGTACAGAGAACCCTTTACGGGCGTAACGGGGATAAAAAAACCTCAATTACTGGGGGGCTTGAGGTTCCTAAACCCGTATTCCCGGAAGCAGGGGGAGAGATCATGATTATTACACCTGGAAAATCCTAGAGGGACATACCCAAATTACACACGAAAATCACTCCTACGAAACAAAGACTTGGCAGCGAGCACATCCCCCCAAGAAAAGCAGGGGTGTCACTAGCACTTAAGCGCAATAC